GAAGCCAGATCTAGAGTTTGAAGCCATGAACTCGATTGGAATGAGCTGAATGCGAAATGGCTGAAGGAACTCGATGAGTTGCATAGTCAACTCGATGAGTTGGATGAGGGTTTCCCGCTTTCTGGATTCTGCATGAACTCGACGAGTTAGCAAGGTGACTCGACGAGTTGGTTAGGGTTTCCCCGATATTCTGGATACTGCATAGACTCGACAAGTTACTTGGTAACTTGATGAGTTTACTGGGATTTTCGCAACTTTCTGAGTTCTGAAGGAACTCGACGAGTTGGGTCAACATGGACTGCTGACCTTGATCGTTGACTTTGACTTTAACCAAGGGTTGACCAGTTTGACTTTTGGGGGTATTGTGGTAAATTGGGTATTTATGGAAATGGATCATTGATATTTCAGTTCCGATCGACATTGTGAAGCGAGTTGTCCTCACCATACTAACAGGGTTGAAGGAACTAATGCCGACCCTTTTCAGATTTGTATCCGAGTTTATTGCATATTGATATATTAGTGACCTGTTAGGTTAGTATCCTGGTATATAGGATGATGTTATGCTAGTGACCTGTTAGGTCGGTATCTTGGTATATATGATGATGCTATGATTAGTAATCTGTTAGATCGGACTGACTATTTGTATATGCTAGCATTTGATATTTATGTGTCAATTGTGTGATTGGGGATGGATTGAGGCAGTCTCTGCTTTGTCCTCTAGGCCAACATACCCAGGGCGACTCGGATAGACTGCAGACCCGGTAAGGGTGTACTAGTCAGATCGGAGGCCTGACGAGCGGTCCAGATAGGCTGAAGGCCCGCGTGGCGGTCCAGACATGTCGATGGCTCGGAGAGCGGTCCAGATAGGCTGATGGCTTTGCTAGGCGGTCCAATCAGGCTGATGGCTCAATATGCATGCTGTTTGTTTGCCATAATATGGCTATGTTTGTATGGCGTTGGTATTTTAGGGGAAACCCACTAAGCTTTGGGCTTATAATTTTGGATTTTGTTTCAGGTACTTCGGATAATCGTGGGAAGGCGAAGGTGTGATCGTGCACCTCCTCGCATTTTACGATTTCATTTATGGGATGCTCTGATATGGAACTATTTTGAAAACAATTTTTGTAATAAATAATGGTTTTTGAATGGATGGAAAAGTTTTAAAGTTTCATAATTTTATGGATGTTACACCACTTTGAACATCATAAGACTTTTTAGTAGGGGTGTGCGCGGTGCGGTTTGGTGCGGTTTCGAGTCAAAACCGCAAACCGCACCGCATATGCGGTTTGAATATTTTAGAAACCGCAAACCGCACCACAGATGTTCAAAACCGCGTGATGCGGTGCGGTTTGATGCGGGCGGTTTATGCGGTTTAGTTGCGGTTTGTGCGGTTTGATGAGTTGTTCAACATTATATCTATCAAAAAACCAAAAACTTGATCGGGTTAAAAAAATTGATTGCTTTCATTTTATAAAAACAAATACAATTTTCGAGTTAAATCGTTTTTAATAAATTGTGACTCATGCTACTATAGTTTTGTAAGTACCATTGTTATTGTTTTATATTGCCGTTATAGTTGCTATATTCTTTTAAACATGAGATCTTAATCTAATAGTGATTTAATGTTATGTTATAGATATTTGATTATTGTAAGAAAAATATACACATAATTTCTAAATTGTGATTTGAAGTTATAAAAAAGTAAAGAAAAAAAAGTGTATATATATATATATATATATATATATATATATATATATATATATATATATATATATATATATATATATATATATATATATATTACATGCGGTGCGGTGCGGTTTGAACCGCAGTTTTATAAATACAAACCGCAAACCACACCGCATAGTGCGGTTTGATAAAATGATGAACCGCAAACCGCACCACGAAATTCTAAACCGCATTATGCGGTGCGGTTTGGTGCGGTGCGGGCGGTTTGTGCGGTTGGTGCGGTTTTTTGCACAGCCCTACTTTTTAGTGGTCAACTTAGACAAGTCAACCACCTAATTTACAATTACCGACCCATCTAAAATTTGTCTTCCTTTAATGAAAACATGTTGCTCTGAACTCACCACTATATCAATAACCTTTGTTAAGCGAAGAGCTAAAAGCTTTGCAATAATCATATATTGGATGCCAACAAACATAATTAGTCCGTAATCTTTAATAAGAAGAGGATTTACCACCTTAGGAGTTAAAGTGATAAATGAAGAGTTGCATCCCGATGAAATAAAATTCAAGTTAAAAACTCCACCACAAATGCATATGTATAATGACTAATCAAATCTAAGTACCTTTTGACAAAAAAAAAACATTTGGTCATGTGGCCTTGTCACTACCACAAACCCAAATTGCATCATGTAGTTCCTCAATCGACGAGATGACATCCAACACTTCTGATTGATTTGGATCCATACTTCTAAATCGATGACTACAAGTACTCAACAGAACCCCCTTAAATAAATTTCAAACTTATTTTTGTAATATTTTAAAAAACTCGGATCAAACCTATTGTTTGTGTGATCCACTTATCATCCATCCGTATTTCTTTAGAAGTCTCGTGTCGCCTCTTATTCTTTATTATTCTATTGAAAAACTTTGTATTATCATCTCATTCCAAGACCCACTTAATTTCACATTGTTTAACCAAATCACTACATTCCATCTTCTCCATTTCATATAACCTATCAAGATTTTTTTCCACTCCATTTCTAGCACATGTGAGCCGAGACCAGCTTCCAAAAGTTTATCAATCTCCATTAGTTTGCTTTCAACCACCCTCTTGTTGGTTTTTGCAACAATATTAATAGAACACTTCCATTCCTTGATTTAAGTTTTAAAAAACTTTAATGTCTTTAAAATAAAATCAGACTTATCGCCTTGAAATTCAGCCCATGAAGTTCGAACAACTTCATCAAACATATCCATTGAGCCAAGAATTAAAAAAAAAAAAAAAAAAAACATTTTTCAAAATTATAGGGCGACATTCAAAGACCTTTCTATTGAAAGCAAAGCACCATAATCTACAAAAAGTTATCAGTCACAACTCACAAGTCACTAGAATTATATGTAACTCAATTTATCACCATTTCGTGTACTTCTAGAGAAATTAAATCTACCCTTTAGAATCTGTATCAAAGCTATGCATAAGTTGTGTTACCAAGAATTTATTAATAGTATTTATCCAAGTTGAAGCACCCTATGTACTTTAAATATCGTTAGACATATACTATACCAGTTATTACCACCGACTATACTTCAAACTTAATATTTCTCGTATAGTCGTATCGATGAAGACTAGGATTTTGTGCTAAAATTCATGATGAAATAGTGAAAAATAAGAAATATTGAGGGTTGATAGTATATTTTTAGAATCCATCTGCAAACTTCAATGAACTTGTTTTCATCATACATCAATTGATATCGTCAGCCTATTAAAGTCATTTATAGGTATTTTGGCAAAATATATCCACATCACGAACAAGATTTGAAACAAAAATTGTAGGTTCTGTGATGTAAATCGTATGGACCTAAGATGTCCATGTAAATATTTTCAAGTACGGACATTAAAAAAATTACACGCCCGGTGGGACTCGAACCCACAATCGCCTGATTAGAAGTCAGACGCCTTATCCATTAGGCCACGGGCGCTTTTTTGTTTTAGTTTCTCAATTATAATATCACAAACCCATCTTAAATAATAGTCTTATATACTTTCAAAATTCAAGTATAATAACTAAATGAGTAAATTACAAATAATAGTCTATGTGGTTTGATTGAGTTCGCAAGTTTGGTCCAATCTTTGAAATTTTGACACATACCATCTTTATTGTTTTGAGAAATTACAACGATGGTCCTGAGCGATAACCCTGATAGAAATCAGATGGTAAATATCAGTAAAATGACAAATATACGCCTTATCTTTTAGTTTATGATTTTTATTTTAATTTGTAGAACTACAAAGATTGAAAATAAGACTACAAACAAAATAAAATAATAAACCCTAACATAAAAATCCTCCATTCTTCATTTCACACATACTCTTCGTGTCTCCCCTCTCACTCTCACTGTCTCCAGCACTATTGTTGGCGACAACCGTTGACCACCACCTAGGCTACATCACCACCTGCATCTCCTTCGACAACTCCCACTTCATCTCCCATTTATATGCTGCAAATAGTATGGTCTCCCCACCACAATTACCGTCACCTCCACCCACCCCTTCTCATCCGAAAACTTTAATCAACACCAATAAAAGAAACTAAAGTGATCCCCTCCACTTTTCTCCATCGGTTTTTACTCAATCATGACAACAAATTATCAGACTTCTCCTATCAGATTCACAAGCAACAACTTATTCAACCTCTTAAAACCTAAAAAACTGTTAAAAAACATCTCGATCAAACCCAAACTCAACTCGAAATATATGCAAATGAGATGTTGATTTTGTTAACTTTTGTTTGGGTTTATAAAATCCAAAAGTTGGATTTGTAGTTTGTCGATCTTCCTTTTGTTGTTACCATGACCAAGGATTCAGGTGGTTGTTGTGTTGGTTTGATCTAATTGCAGGCGGTGGTTGTGAATCTGGAATGAACTTGGAAAGAAGATGAAGATGTTGGTTGTCATTTTAACGAACCGGAATGCAAGGGGTGGTTGTGGGTTTAAGGAAACCCGGGACGAAGATGAAATATGATATGCATACCACATTCATTTTTTGGGTTTTATTGGCTTTTAAATTTGTGAATTTGGGATGAAAAATTAAGAAAAAGTTTTGTGTTTTTATTTTTATTTTGCATCAGTATATGTGGTTGATTAATTTTGATCCTAGTTTTGATTTTGAAAATATGCTTGAGAAGATGATCAAATCACGGAGCGTTTCTAACGGATTTAGACGGAAGGACCATTTGTGTAATTTTTTGAGACCATAGGGATGTTAGTTATCAACTTTTCAAAGTGTTGCGAATCAGCCCAAACCATAGGGACTAAAACTGTAATTTACTCTACCAAATTATTCTTCAAATTCCATGGTATTTAAATCCATTATAAACATTTTTTTTTTCTAAATATAAGTTTACATTCTAAATACACCAAATGTAGTGGGTTCCGGTGTACGATTATTAGAAGCAGAGATACAAAGCCCTAAAATTTTGCGAGTGTCAGCAGGATCAATAACCCCATCATCCCATAATCTTGCTGTCGAATAATACGCACTGCTTTCCTTATCGTACGCCTCAACAAATTTCGCCTTACTCTTCTCTTCATCCTCCTTTGACCACTGTAAAGTAAAATCACCAAATTACCCCTTTATGATGTGGCTTTTAATAAATTGATCACTTTTTTTTTTTTTTTAAATTAATTAATTAATTATTTACCTGGATTCCCTCCTTTTTCTTCTTGCTTTTTTCTATCTCAGACATCACCCCAGCCGCCTGTTACAATTTAAGATCAGTATACCATTTTGACTATTTTGACTAATTTTCAAATACCCAAAATACCCTTTGACCAAAAGAGCATAGAGCCTACCTGAGCACCACCCATCACACCTATTCTTGCATTCGGCCAGAAGAACATAAAATCCGGACTATATGCCCGCCCACACATTGCATAGTTTCCAGCCCCAAAGCTTCCACCAACAACAATAGTAATCTTGGGTACCTATAAAAAAACACAAGGGTAATTTCGTCATTTTACTCCTGAAAGACTTTTCTCAAGGTTATTTATTGCTTCTTTTAGTTTTAAACTACAACATTTCAAAGAAATTCAAAGAACTTACATAGAACTAACTAACTCAAACCAAATGTCCAAACTCCAAAGGGCATTTTCGGAATATATATAAAAAAAGATGAAAAAGAAACTAACCTTTGCACAAGAAACAGCCATCACCATTTTTGCTCCTGCCTTTGCTATACCATTTGCCTCTGATTTTGATCCAACCTATCACATCACAACAAAATGAGGGCTTCAAATAACAACATACTTTGCTAAATTACCATTTTACCCTTCTCCTCACATACCATGAACCCTGTAATATTTTGAAGGAACACCAATGGAATATTCCGTTGAGAACATAACTCGATAAAATGGGCTCCTTTAAGAGCAGATTCACAAAATAAAACCCCATTATTTCCAATTATACCCACCGGTTGTCCAAGAATTCTACCAAATCCTGTTACAAGTGTCTGCAAAACGCAAAGTTGAATATTAAGAAAAAAAAAATCTTGATGGAAATAGGTTCAGGGGTAAAGTGGTAATTTAGCCCTCACAGTGCCATACAATTGCTTGAATTCGTCAAATTCACTTCCATCAACTATGCGAGCAATAAGTGATCGAATGTCAAATGACTGTTTTAGGTCTGTAGGGGCAATTGATTGAAGCTCTTTCACATCATACAATGGCTCTTTGTAATCAGAAATCATGCCTTGTAAATTACTATTTACCCCTTCATTCCCAGCCATGTGTAAGTTCTTAACAATGTTTCTTCCTATACATAGTGCATGAAGTTCATCTGCCAGTATGAAGGGCAATTTTGTAAAATTAGTATCAATGATAGTAAACCATAACAGCAATGCACTTATTTGTATTTGTCAACGAAAGCAATATGCAACATGAAACATGTGAAAATTTTATAAGTTATATAAAGCTGTTATGGGTAAAAAATGTAAATACATTAATATTATGGGTAAAAAATATAAATAGTTTACCTTGAGCAAGATAATCTGAAACACCTGATACCTTGCAATGCACATCTGCACCTCCAAGATCTTCAGAAGATACTTCTTCACCAGTAGCAGCCTAAAAAAACTAGACTTTTTAGATAAATATATAAAAACCAAACATAAATTATAAAATATAACACAAGAATAACATATATATCATCTAAAATTACCTTTACTAATGGTGGGCCAGCTAAGAAAATGGTGCCATTTCCTTTAACCATGACACTTTCATCAGCCATGGCAGGTATGTAGGCCCCACCTGCTGTGCAAGAGCCTAATACAAGGGCAATTTGGGGAATACCTTCTGAAGACATGAGGGCTTGGTTGTAAAATACTCTACCGAAATTATCTTTATCAGGGAAAACATCAGCTTGTTTTGGAAGAAAAGCACCACCACTGTCAACAAGATATATACATGGTAATCTGCATTTAGCAGCAATCTCTTGAGCTCTGAGATGTTTCTTGACTGTAATGGGGTAGTACGTGCCTCCTTTGACTGTTGCATCATTTGCAATGAACATACAGAGTTTTCCATGTATTGGTCCTATTCCAGTTATGATGCCTCCAGATGGAAGACATTCTTCATATAATTCGTGGCCTGCAAGCTTGAATTGAATGTAAAAGAAATGAACAGATGAAGAAGAAGAAACAACATTGGCAAGAGATTGTTGCTTATCATATGATTCCAGTGAAATGATTTGAAAGTTCTGTTTTCAGATCTTTCTTATCACGAAATTAGATCAAAGAATTTAGAGAAACTCCTCTTGTGGATAGCAATGTTTGATCCTAAATTGTAAAAGTAAGTTTCTAACCTGGGAAAGCTCAAGAAACGAAGAAGAAGAATCCAGTAACCGATCGATTCTCTCCCTTGGAAGCAGCTTGTTCCTACTTTTATGCCTCTTTATAGCTGCTGCTCCTCCACCTTGGGTAACCTTTTTACATAAGGAATACAAAATCGTTAAAAATTCACTTCATAACACTCGCATGGAGTGCAGTCCGAATTTCTACATCTACAATCCAAATCGATATCTCAAATCTCGTATGCCAAGATGCAATCGCGTTAACAAATTATCGCTAATTCAAATACATTCATTGCAAGCATTTAAATTCACGAGTACTAAAATTTTGCTAAAGGCAGCCAGTCGCATCGTTCACATCCTCAATTTACTAGAAAATTACACAGCTAAATTTACATCCAGAAGTAGAGAAAACAAACCTGATTGATACGAGAGTGAAGTTGAGAAATGACAGATTCCATTTCCTTCGAGTTTCGAATAAATGAATCGGAAGTCCGGTCGATACCATCGGGAAGGACATTGTGTCCTTGCAGCTGGGTGCCGTAATCGCGATTGCTTGAATACATCATCTGGGTGGAGCTGATTGATGAACGCCATCGATATGGAGATGATACTGAGCTGGATTTTGCACTTCTTACTAAGAACCCTAACATTTTAGCTTTACTGTATTTCTGGTGTATAAGGAGTGAAGACGATGATATATAAAGCAAGCAAAATGGAAGATGAAGTATGCGTCGTGTTTAGTTGGCTTTGCTTTCTGCTTGTCTGTAATTCATATCCCGTTATCGATACGCATACATTTCAAAATTGATATCACAATGAACAAGGACTATAAAACAAATTATTTATTATTATTATTATAAATTATAGATTATAGATGTAGAAGTTAATTGCCATGAATAGAAGGTGCCTATAATAAGAAAAAAGGTCAACTTTTACATGCTAACATTATATGCGGAAAATGGTACAAAACTAAAATCAAGTTTAATAAATCAATTTAGACGGTTTTTTATCGGTTTTATTATGTTGGTTTGATCTTATTTTGAGTAGAAACCATATCCTTCAATCCAGTTTACAACATAGTATAAAATCGGTTGTTATGGAACTGCTATCGTTCTTAGTTCATGTTAGAATTTTGTTTTAAGATATGTCAAATAATTTATAAAATATGATCAACCAGCAAAATATTTAAAATGGTTATAAAATATAACAATATATTGTTTTAAAGTAAATTGTTCGTTTAAATTGGAAATAATTGATTAATTAAGATAATAAAAATATTAACATATAGACTTGATGCACCAGAAATTCATTGTGAATATTTTGAAATTCAATTTGATCTATTCAAAAATTGTTGTCTCGATTCTTTAATTGAGTGCCTCAATAGGTAAAGTTATTGTTCAACTCCGGTTAGAGATATATGTGGATTTAAAAGTAATTTAGTAGTATAACAAATTTGTCGTTCCAAAAAAATTATTTGTTTGATTACTAATTTATGTCATTTAATATGTATTAAATTAGAAGTCTTCACGGACGGTTCGATTCAGATGGTAATAAAATTGTGAACCGTAAGCATAAGACGAGTATGTCATACCCCCGAACCAGACGGCGGAAACGTCCGAGGGCTCGTGTGACTATCAATTGAAATATAATCACAATGAATATACATGAAACATAACACAATCATCACCAAACATTACATAGTACAACTAGTGTTGTTGACATCAAGTATATTGTTTTACAGTACACATTCCAAAACATAAATTGTATGAAGATTAACACATCATAATAAAATTTCCAAAATACTCTTGACGATTCTTCAGCTTAACGATTACCTAATAATACAAGTTATTTTGAAAATAGTCGATATATATAACGTTGGTGAGTTCATAAGCATGTTTGACTAAAAGGTTTTGTAATGTTTGTATAACCCATAAAATATGATATTTTCTGTAAATTGTATGAAAATGATGTAATGATCAAGTATAAATGTATGTGTGATTTCCATTGTAAAAACATGTATAAGTAAGCAATTCAAAAAATTTCATGATTTGTATCTGTTGTAAGTAGAAGGTAATGAATAATAGTATTTCCCCAGAAAATCTATTTTCTGATTTATAAAAGTGTCATAGTCCTCGTATTACAACATGAATTGTTTTCATATGATCATGATTTAAGCACTTTGATTCCCGTATTGTATCGATGGTAATGGATCTCTACGTGAGTCGTTATAACCAAGCATAATAATGACTAATTCGTCTGTCTTGGCATTTTTCCAAACATCGGTTTTGATCAAGATTTTATCACCCTAGACTGACCTTGCCTAACTGTAGCGAACAACTCAGGTGTGAGGGAGTCACCTCCGTATAGATCTATACACAAACTCTCGCTCTCCCTCCAGGAGACTCTGATTATAACTACATATTACGGCCAAATACTTAATGGTGTCAATTGATAGTTCTCACTACATCCCAATGATTTGTCACATGAATATGTTTACTATTAACGTAGTTTGATTTACTAACACCTAATGATACTTGAATGTGAAAGACACGACCCAACAAACGTGAACAAGGACATTTGTGGCCCGTTAGACACGTAAGTTATTTTTGGGCTTGATGGCATGCAAACAGACACGTTGAAGCCCATTAAGCATACAATGAATCTCTCCTAGCAAAATTAACATGTGAATGGGCCACTAAGGCCCAATAATATGTAAAAATTAATTTAGACCCATTGAGCATGTCATTGGGTCACTAAGGCCCAATAAGCATGTATTACAAGTATCAGGCCATTCGTACCATTATTCCATTTTTGTATGTTTGATGTGGTATAGTGCTTCTAAACGAAGCATTAATTCGGGATGTTATAAAATATCCAATGTTTGATTTTTAATAATATATATATATATATATATATATATATATATATATATATATATAGGGATGTTATTCGGGTCGGAACCGAACCGAACCGAACCGAATAAAGCAAATCGTATGAACCGAAAACCGAACCAAATAAGCAATACGGGTTCGGTTCGGTTCGGGTATTATTCGGTTCGGTTCGGTTCCGGCCCGAATAACCCAAATAACATATGCAATATGATTAAGGAGTCGAATAATCCGAATAACCCGGATATTTTGTAGTCGAATAACCCGAATAACCTGAATATTTTGTATTACTTTTGAAGCTTATGATTTCATAAGTATATAACCTGAATAACATGTACAAAATGATTTTGTAGTCGAATAACCTGAATATTTTGCATTAATTTTGTAGCTTATGATTTCATAACAAATCTTTTAAAGAAAGAAATTAAACACTAAATATTAAACATCCAAAACACCCAAAAATCTATCTATAAGTATATAACCCGAATAACCCAAATAACATGTACAAGATGATTAAGGAGTCGAATAACCCGAATAAATATTGTATTTTTTATGACTTTTGTAGCTTATGATTTCATAACAAACTTTTTAAAGAAACAAATTAAACACTAAATCGACTCACGCAAGGTCGCAACGGAAAAAAGACTCTTCATATTCGGTTCGGTTTTTTGGACCAAATAACCCCTTATTCGGGTAACCTGGACCGAATAACCCGAAAACCGAATAAGCCTTATATAGATACCCGAAAACCGAATCGAATTGCTTATTCGGGTCTAATTCGGTTCGGTTCTCGGTTCGGTTCGGGTTTTCGGCCCATTTTCTCATCCCTATATATATATATATATATATATATATATATATATATATATATATATATATATATATATATATATATATATATATATATATATATATATACCATTTTTAAATCCCTTATGTTATAAAAATTTATATTTTTGGTCCAGTTGTTCAATAATTGACATAATTGACCCAAAATACTTATTTGACTATTTCAGCCAATTTTTCACCGAAACTTTCATTTTTAGCTCTTATTTGAATAAAATGACATTTATATTCCTTTTTGGTGAAAATAATATTTTTGGCCCATAGACCATCAAACTTTGCATTTTGGCCCATTTATGAATTTGTTTTAAAATTTTAGCCCAAAATATGTTTATTGACATTTCCAGCCCTTATTTTATAAAAGTTTACATTTTCGGCCCATTTTCCAAAAACTTTACATTTTCGGCCCAAATTAGAAAATTTTACATTTTTGGCCTTTATTTTAATTTATTTCCTGTTGTTGGCTCATGTTTTGATGATATAACATTTTAACCCCTAAAAACTCTAAATTTTCACATTTTGGGCCCAAAACCCCTAAGGCCTAAATTTAAGCCCATTTTGCCAAAAAATTTCATCTTTGGTCCTTTAAAAAGTTAATTATCATAAAAACAAAATTTTTAAGTAATATGGCCTCTTTGATCTTTATAAAACCGAAGTGGTCACTTTTTGCCCAAACTTTTCTTTATTTGACAAGGTGATCCTTATACATGATTTTTGTTTTGTTTTTCACATCATAAGCTTATAATACATTTTTATCTTTGTAGTATGATGACTAGTATGTCTTAGTTCATTAATCTCACCCATTTTGGTTAAAGTTTTTGAGATTTGTAGAGTTTTACCACATATTCACAACATAAACTAAGAAAATCACACATAACATGTAAATACACATAGATCAACACATAATACTTGTATTCTCTCTCTCTCTCTCTCTCTCTCTCTCTCTCCCCCCCCCAAAAAAAAAAAAACATTTAAAAACCGAAAACAAGGGGGTATGAACTCACCTTTGTTGTTTCGGTTTTGAAGAAGAAATGGAGAGATTTTTGGTCCTAGCTAGCTTCTTCAAGAACTTTGGGACTTAGATGGCTCTAAGATGCATGATTCACAAAATGGTATGAGTTAGGAGGAGATTTTTAAAGAAATCAAGAAGCTAAACCATAGATCTAAGCAAAAACTTACCAAGGATGGTGATAGTGGTGAAGAATCCTGTAACAGCCCGAAATCCAGGTGAAGAAGGAGCCATTGTTGGAGCTAGAAGTTGAATACCAAGTGTAGATCCGAGTTATACAGTGGTTGGAGATCCTTTCTGAGGTAAAAAGCTCAAAGCTTTCCTTGTTCTTCATAAGTTTTGCTTGTTGGACCATTTTTAGGGTTTTTGGTTCAAAGTTGGAGACTTTATGTGCAAAGAGTCTCCATAAGCTTAGATATGACCTTTTCTAGTGTATAATGTGTTGAGGAGTCATAAAAATCTAGTCTTGGATGTGGATCTTGTGTCATGCATGAGTTATAGTCTCGTTATGGAAAGAGGAAAGGTGTTTTGAGCACAAAGTGACCTTTACAGCCATGCAAAGGCTTAAAGGTTTCAACTTTATGTATTAAGTCATATTAGAAGAGTCGGATCTGAAGTTTGGATGCAAGTCTTAACCAATTAAGACCTGAATGTGTTGGATAAAGAAACTGGGCATTACGTTGGGCGTAATCCCAGTACGCGCCACGTAGGGGGTCGCGTACCCCGTTTCTAGAGTGCAAGAGTACGCCCCGTGTACAGGAGCTGGTACGCCCCACGTACTGCTTGATGTTAACTTTTGTTGACTTTTAGGGTTTTAGTCAACATGTGGATTTTGGGTCACGGAGGGGTAAAATGGTCTTTTACCCTTCCGTGGAATTTTAGAAAGGAATATAGCATAGTCTTAAGAGTCGTTAATGATTTGGAATAATTACTTGATGTGATTAGGCGAGGCTAGGTCGTTGTTGCGAGATTCCGAGATATCGAGCACGCTAGACACTAGACATCATACGAGGTGAGTCTTCTCACTATATTGTACCTGGAAGGGTACCTATGTGTGACCGGAAGGTCTGGTATGCTATAAGATATATGCATTGTATGTTATTAGTT